CTCAGAGTTCAAGAAAAGTTACGAGAATGACAGCCAGCACAGCGACAATGTGAACTTCCTACGTTTGGGCTGGTCCTCCAAACAGCTGACCACACTGAAGCCCATTCTGTCTGACATTGAATACCTACAGGACCAGCACCTGCTTCTCACTGTCAAGTCGCTTGACGGATTTGAGTCCTATGGTAAGCGGGTCTCACTGCAATGTCTTATCGGCTTGTAGGTGAATTGGTCATGTGACGTGACGGCATGACCACAACCCCTTCCCGTTTCCTTCCAGGCGAGTGTGTCCTGGCCCTGAAATCTATGATTGGAAGCACGGCCCAGCAGTTTCACACGTACCTGTCACACCGGGGCGAGGAGACTGGCAACATCCGGGGCTCCATGAGGGTGCGCGTACCCTCTGAGAGAACGGGCACCCGTGAGCGCCTCTATGGTATGGCCTGAGGGGCAGGGTTACTAAAAGATCATTTTCAGTATGTGCAGCAATATATTTTGACAGTCTCTGCTCAGGCTCTTCTCAGTGTGTTAAGGAATTGTGGGTGAAATAACCTCATACAGAGACTGAATAACATGTGCAAAAATATGGGGTAAAAATATATCTCTAGATGTGAGTCGTCTTTCCTTTTCCCTACACTGACTTCAACTGTTGAATTAATGGTTATGGTATCGAGTGACTTGCATTACAGAATAACAGTAGCTGCAGTTAACCAAACATCTCAGTGATGTTTCACTGAGGTCTCTGTACTGAAGCAGATGCATTGACCCCAGTTGCATTCCTTCCAACAGAATGGATAAGTGTAGACAATGATGAGAGCAGTTGTCCAAAAGGCAAGTCCACACTGTCTACAAGAACTGGACATGACTATGTCAAGTAAGTGCCACACTGTCTCTGCAGAATCACTGCACTCAGGGGCAGAAGTTACCTCGGGGGCGGTAAACATCCCTAGCACTGTAAACACCTCTTACTCCCATAACATTTCAGGTCAAACCATTGAGCGTGGCAGCTCGATTGCCAAATGGTCAGCCCACCTGCTAGCTGTGCTATTGTGGTTTGTAGGCCATTAAATTCTGAGTTTTATAGACCCAGATGTTTACACAGCTGTTACATGCATTGTGGAGACTGTGTGGTGAGGAAGCCAGGCAAATCCTGGGGAAATTTCTAAGTAGGTGCAGCTGGAGCAGGTCTCTCCCCACGTCGCTGTGGGGTAGGAGGAGGCCCCGGTGGAGCTCACCCTGCTCGTCCTATGCCTGTCCCTTTTCCCAGGCCCACGTTGGCCCGCAGGCGCCCAGTAGGTGAACTGGGGAAGGTGAGTGAGGAGGGGGACAGGAACCCCCCCCACGCAGCCCCGGGACATTCTGCTTTACCAAAAGAGGACGGGATTCAGGCCAGGTGCGTTGAGAAGCGCACAGCCCCTTCCCCCTTCGCTCCCTGCAGGATCCCCTTGGCTTCAGATGCATCTCCCATAATCCTAGGAAATGTTGTGTTTGTACAACGTCCCTGTCCAGTGGATGAAATATCCTGTTAGCTCTTTGGCCAGATGCCTGACCAGGGCCAGATGTTTCGTTATTAATGGATGGTATCTGGCATTGTCTCCAGAATGTGAGATTTAAGTCTGAGGTGATCCTGAAAGTAGAAATCCAGACCAAGATTTTGTTTAAACCTACCAGTTTTGTACTCTGTGACTATGACTCGTTTTACTCAACTGGATCGTTGAAACAGAATCTTGATCTCGATTTTTACTCTCTGGCCCTGAAATATCCACCTCTCATGTGTTCCCCCTCTTCCCAGAACGAAGTCAGACCCCCCAGAAAACGACGCCTCCAGCTGCAAGAACAGCTACAACAACCCAGCCTACTATATCCTGGAAGGTGTGCCGAACCAGTCTGCTGCCCTGTCGGCTGACCTCCTGTCCAGCTCCAGCCTCACGCCCCTCAGCACCAAGGGAGCTGCGCCACCTGGAGGCAAGAACAAGGCCCCAGCCGCAGGGGTACCTCAGCGCCGACAGACCAGTGGCCGCCCTGCCCGCCCAATCAGCGAAGAGATGTCCTCTGAGGATGATGTAAACCTCGGGGTGCCCAGTGGCACACTCAACCGCCCCCCACCAGACTTCCCACCACCTCCCCTGCCCAAAGGGGCCATTGAAATGACTGAGAACCCTTTCTATGGCATAAGCAAGGAAGGTGCCAAGGGCAGGAACATCTATCCTGACCTGGCAGACATGAAGATCTCAGCCAAGCCTGGGCCTTCTCCAGCTTTCCCATCCCAAGCTTCTGGTGCAAGCAGTGGGGCCTTTTGCCTGGAACCCTCACCTATCCTCAGCCCTCCCGGCGCCCATGGCAGGAGGGGGCCTGGCGGCAGCTCAGGCGTGAACGACCAGTCGTGCTCTGTACTGCAGATGGCCAAGACGCTAAGTGAGGTGGAGTACCCACCAGGCCGTGACAGGACCCCTGGCATCCCTCACAGGGGTGTTGGTGGCCCCTCTCTGCGACCCATAGGGCTCTCTGAGTCATGCCGCACCTTCCCTCCCCGCTCCATCCATGAGAGTATCGCGGAGGATCTGCCAGAAGAGGTGACGCATCCTTAGCTTGCAATGTAGACTGCTGCATGGATTTTAACAAGTGCTGCTGTATAGTTTGTATCAGATTGTCTGAACCACTGACTGCTCCCAGCGTTAGCCTGCCCTTTGTGAGCTAACGAGTGTCTGTGCTGCCCCCTAGGGGATGTGGCAGGGTGGCAGTAGCAGCTCCAGCCTCTCTGTGGAGACTAGTGTTGGTGAGTGGCTTCAGCGTCTGGGCCTGGAGCGCTACGAGGAGGGACTGCTGCACAATGGCTGGGATGACCTGGAGTTTCTCAGGTGTGTGCTGGGGGGGAGGAGGGGCACGCATTTCCCTTTCAGTATAGTATTAAGGTCAAGGTCAGTCCTTGTTGTGGCTGGTGACTCTCTCAGCTGACAATCTTACTGGTCAGCCTGCTCCACTGGTGTTTGTCAAGATGGATTCTCCCCATGCTGGCGAAACACCAGTCACTCTTGTCTCTTTGTAGTGACATCACCGAGGAGGACTTGGAAGAGGCGGGTGTTCTTGATCCCATGCACAAGAAGATCCTGCTAGAGAGCTTGAAGCAGCAGCAGCAGCAGCAGAAGTGAGCCGAGCCGAGCCGAGCCAAGCCAGCCCACTCCGTGCCTCTTCTCAAAGGAATTGCACTGTACTTTCCCTGTTTTCAGTTACTAAGTGTTTTTTAAGCCCCTTTAAATTTATTTTTAATATTTGATATTATTTAAAAGGTAATTTCTAGATAACAGCACTCCACCACTACAAGCAGTCCCTGGGTGATGACCTCATCCTATGTATTTTACATTCCCTTGTTAGCTCAGGCAGGTGGTTGGCTTTTTAAAAATTACACTTTTTTTTCTCTACATTGTTTCGTTTCGTGTCATTGCATGTTGTGTTTCTAATGAAAAAGGGACCGGTTCTCCAAACTGACTCTCGCCGACTGCTTGTTGGGTGTAGGACAGAGTCGTGTCCATAACTCCTCGGTGTGGGATGACGGTCTGCAACCTCACCATCGTCTCAGCTCTGTGCTGTCAAGTTATTTTCAGGTTATTCTTAAATTCTTCAAAATGCTCATAGTGTGTGATTTCTTCCCGTGAGACGTCATGCATACATGTGTCTGGTGGGTGTAACAGAAAGAAGGACGTCTTTCCTGATTGTTTGCATCCTTGTGGTCAGTTTTGTTTCAGTTCAGCCTTGTGTTGAGCAGATTTCTGTTGGTCCTGCATTTCACCACTAGATGCTGCTGTAGATCTGAACATAATAGATGGTGTAAAAAATACATCCATATGCATTAGTATGCTTCTTTACACGTTTGGATCAAAGAGGGAGGCCTTTAAATAAGGTTTTTATATACTTAAGTTTTGGTTCATAAAGGTACTTATTTTTGGAATAGATGTAAAATCAACACCATATTTTGAGGATTTAAAAATGCTAATTACAATCACCAGCTATTAAATCTGGAGATGCGGCAATCATTTCTTGGTGGAAATTGAATGAACTATTAAAGAATACAGACAGGAGGAATGGTGCCAGTCAAAGCTCGTTGATGATATCTGACCAGTGCTGATGTTCCTCTCTGTGATGCCCCAGTATAGAGCAGCTGTGCTCTTTGCTCTGTACATACAGCTGAGACCTCATGACTGTGTCTGGCATGAGGATCAGGTACTTGAGGAGCTAAATGAGGCCAGTGTACTGAGGACATCCACATTCCCCATAGCCCTGTGCTGACCCATCCTAATGCACTCCACCTGGCCTGCACGTGCAGGAGCTGGAGCCACTCGTACCCCTTGCATGACACCGTTGGTGGTTTCGGAGGCTGTGCATGGCTCCCTGGGGGCTGCAGTGTTCCCCTTCCAGGCTGTTTCTCAGCTTTCCTCTGGTTTCATTCCAGTCACTTCCCCAGTTTGCTCAGTTGATTAAATAAAGTAAGGCACAAGTGATGGACTTTGCTGAACTGGATGAGCCTGAAACCTGACCCACCATGCCTGTACTAGAGCAGCTATCGTCTGCCCTGCTCTACGCTGCGGTCTCCCTCCAGTGTGCATGGTTTATTGTTCTCCTGTAAATCATAACGATGGACATCACCATTTTAGTTTTGTACAGCATGCTGCATCAGGTGTAGGAACTTGATGTAACTTTGTGCCAGATACAGTTAAACATTCTTGTTTATTTTGTGTAATGTTAGTAAACGTTTTAACTCCTCAGTCTGTCACATTCACCTGGATGGATTTATCATGTGCTTTGTATTATTCTTAAGTGTAATATTTGAGGTTCTAAAAGACTAAAAGACTTTCCAAAATAAAAACTAACTGCTAACATTTTGTTTCTGCAAACAGCTGATGAACGTGATGTTTTAATAATCCCTAACTGTGGTCCTGTAGGTGTGTGGGCTGGGTAAATGTGGATTATTTCAGTCAAGGTGTGAGACTAAAGTACCAATACAAAAGAAAGGGAACCGTGTTTAATATTTTATAATGCAACATTTATCATACATACAATTGAGGATGAAATATAAATCTGGTGATGGGGAACATGTGAATACCTTCATATAATATGAAAGGTGTTATAAAATCATTAGCTGCTTTACAGAAAGCTTAATGTGGTGAATAATTGACTAGTTAAATCTTGAACCAATGGGGACCATAAACAGAAACGCATAAACTAGTAATTAAGACCTGTTTTACTGTTACATCTGGGCTCAAGTTAACAAGGGCTTTAACAAACCGTTTTGTCTCTTTGCAGTTTATATGGATGTGTATTGACAATAAAAAGCACATCGGGCCCATAGGCCTACATATTGCTTTCTGACACTCCCATCTTTGTCACTAAAGACTGAAAAACCTCGTATTCAAATTATTCCAGCTTATTGAAACTGAAATGTGGCGCAGCAGATGTGATGTTTCAAGCGTTACACTACTGCTCTTACAACAGCGAAGTGTGGCGTCAGCGTCACTCCACGCGCTTCCGAACCCGTATTTTCTAAAAATTAACCGAATTATTTTGTTTCATAAAAATGAACTGGCGCGATGCATTTGAGAGGTTTCGAATTATTCTATTTGTTTGTAATATGCATTAATTTAAGCAAAAACAGCGCTGACAAAAGGAAATACCTTTTGCGGCATTGCATATAATGTTAGCGTAAATGTGGTGGATGTTTGGGGACGGTGTATGGCGGCTGAATACGAGCTGGGAGAAACAGGAGGAAACGATCATCTCTTGCAGAATGAGTGTCAAATGCATGCTATTCGCACAAGCGGCGTCGTTACCGCAAAATACCTCATTATCGAATATTTATTATATGTACAAATCATTTTAATATTACAATGTTGTATAATTATCTTAAAAACACCCATGACCGCTACTGAAGGTTACAGTGTATTTGCTTTTTTTTCAATAAGTTATGTTTAGTATATTTATTTTGTGTCCGGTCAAACAGAAGATGAACTCATTAGCTGTATTTTATTTGACTTGCTTTAATGAACCTTAAGTAAACGGAGTTGTGCTGTGGGTCGCACGAAAAGGCGGGAAACTGCGCCGCTTTAACAAGCTTGCCGTCACGTGCATCCCTTGGCAAAGCGAGTAGTATCCGCCTAAAACTGCGAGTACACTTTTCTCTGTGATTATTGCTTTAAACAATCGCACGTTTTGGACCCCCGTCAATGCGAAGCACAGATCACTTTATTCATGAGAAGAAGGGACACCGTTTCCACATAAGTTCCGGAAGACGACGGCATGGCTAGGCGGCAAAGTGCAGACGTCGACGGTGTTTCCCAGCCGGCCGCCTCAGCTGTAGGTAGACGCTTTGTTTTTAAATTAAAGGGGTTAACAGTTTAATATTTTGTTTCATGTTAGTCTAAAACGGCTTCGTGGATGGATTTGTAGTGGAGGGAAATTGTGCTTGGCTTGTAATATACCTTTCTCTCTCCCTTGAGATTTCCCTGCTTTATTTCCGATTTTAATTAACGAAATCAGACCTCCGAGCGTCTCTGTAAGTGCAGAACTTTCTGTCGTGGTTTTGCGAATTGATTTATTAATTTATCGTACTGTAAAATATAAGAGAAAACATCATGATGCTTTAAGGTCTAAGCTGTCCCCGCGGTCTCTCGGGCGACGTTCTGGTGAAATGACACAATGAGGATGCAGTGTGGGGACATCGCTATTACAAACCCCTAAGACACATACACAGGCCTGCGCGATCCGACGCCTAAATCACGTTAGAGTTCGGGTTAATAAATAATAGGAGTCCAGCTCGGAAAGGCGGTTCTAGAAGAGGTTCGTCTTAAGGGCGTTGGGCTTCCGATGGAAAGTGGACAGGACCCCGGCGAAGGGTCCCGCCATACTGTCCGCGGGCTGCCAGGCTTTCAGCAGGTCAGGGCCCTGTGGCCCGCTGGGGGTGCCCCCGGTGCCCCCAGAGCCGACGCTTGGCCAGCCGGCGGTCTTGATACCCTGGTGCACAGAGGCGGAGGTGGTGTTGACGAAGCCGGCCCCCGCTGCGGAGACGGGGCTGGGGCTGAGGCTGCTGCCCGGGCTGCCCATGTTTCCCGAGCTAGGGAGGGAGGCCGTGCTGTCAGGCGTCGGGCTGCACGTGGACTCCTTGGACTCGTCGTCTTCGGAGGAAGCCCTATTCTCGCCCTTCTTGGCGGCCGCGCTACCGGTGCCCCCGCCGCCTCCGTTGCCCCCTTTTGAGTTGGCTGCCCGCTCCTGCTTGCGGAACTTCGCACGTCTGTTCTGGAACCAAACCTGCACATATGGAGTCTTTTACTACAAAACTGTGCAGTGTCATGATCAGCGGGGTTTTAAAGTATTTTAATCGAAGCGCACATCAGTCTCCAAGCATCACTGGCATACGTGCCTCCTGTACGTCATATCATACCGTATACCGTGACGCACTGATTCAGCGTATGATTGCTATAACGGGTGGCTCACCTGCACCCTGGCTTCAGTCAGGTCTATCTTGAGCGCCAGCTCCTCTCGCGTGTAGATGTCGGGGTAATGTGTCTCAGCGAAGACCCTTTCCAGCTCCTTCAGCTGTGAGCTCGTAAACGTCGTCCTGATGCGCCTCTGTTTGCGCTTTTCGTTTAGCCCGGAAGGGTCCGAAAAGAACTTGTAGGGCACTAAAAAACAGCATGGATATTCAGTGCGTCCTCAGTGATAAACACACGGCCAAAACGTAACACAAGACAGTAACAGCGAAGATGACAGGCAGTTTATGCTGGAAACGTGAGTCTGACAGGTTGGTGTTTTATCTCTTTTAAGACGGCTATTGAGTCTGACTGACATGCACGTGCTGTAGGTATCTATCCGGGTTTGAGTATATGAACAACTTGAATGTGTTTATTGGTGGTGTCTCGTTACAGCTCCTTCCATATTGGGTAACTTTCAGTTATGCTTCAATCAGCATTTAAAGTACGGAAACGTTAAACTAAAATAAAACCCATTCACGTCTTGAACGGTTTATTAATCAAAACTAGACAAGTTCTTTACACATTCAAACAGAAAAAGACATTTCAGGTTCAATTAAACTTTGAATAGCTTATTAAAGAATGAATAATACATGTTTTCTGGAGAAAATTGTTTACGGTTATTTTCTTTTAGACATTCTTTGTATTTTGTAAACGACCGATGATATACATTGATCTAAGTAGCATATATATACATCTGTGAGTTCATTGGTATATATACGCATAACCTGAGCTCTTGGAACTTAACTGAGCTCTGGACCTGTCCTTTGGGGTTAGATTAAGTGGTGTCTGCTCACACGAAAATGTGATTGATATTAATAATACTTCAACTCAATTGTTGTTTTTCCCCCCCAAAAAAATCACGATACATAAAAAGAGTAGACTCTTAATGATGCTGGAAGAGTTCACTTGACATTGTTATTCTCAGTCATTCATTAAATTTAGTTATTAGAAATCAGGCTATTCACTTTAAATCAATTAATACGAGGTATATATGGGCTTTGAAATATAGCTGCGAAATAAATGCAGTCCCAGCAAAACAAGAGAAAATAAATTAAATTGGTGAAACCATCTTAAATACAAGCCATAAACTGCGCAATTCCTCATCAGATATATACTTTAATGTCGAGAAGAGTGAATGAATGTTTTCCTGTGTAGACAATCATCTGTCAGAATCATTGATACTGATGTCTTACCTGTGGAGTAGGGACCGGGTTGGTGATCTCGCAGCGCACCTAACGTGCAGCTGGCCGTGTTTAGTGGAGGGCAGCTAGGGTTAGCGCCAAAACTGGTCCGGATAGGGTTGTACTGGAAGGTGTTGGCTTGACTGCACGAGTTGAAGTCCGCATAAGCCGATGCTTCCATCGCAGCCATGCAGGAGTCGTAGGTGTTTAGGTAAGAATAATCCATTTTGTACATGGAGAAGCAGTAAGACGAGCTCAGCGATAGCTTGGTAGCCGGCGAAAAGTCTTCAGCCAAAGCGGATGAACTGAAACCAGGGCATAAAATGATGCCGGCTCCTATTCACTGTCCAAAACTGCGCTCTTGTTTTCTGTATTGTCCAGTTGGCAGTTCACTGTGTTCGTTAGTATTCAGAGTCCTGACAGTGCGCTTTTAAGCTCCCCGCAGTCCCGCCGTTTCTGTGTCCACGTCTGCCTGAGTCCCTGGCTCTTCTCCCCTATCCCGAGTTGTGTTTGACAGCGCACTGCTCCGCCTGGGCAGCTAGTGGCGTGTTTATAATAAACTTGGCTGTCCTGGAGACAATAGCGAGGCGGTGGTCTCTTTACATGACAATATCTTCATAGTCTATTGGGGGGCATAGCTAGCGAACAGCCCCCTCCCACTTCTCATGCATTACTAATTCGCAGTTAACCCTTTCTTCCGAACATCTGCATTGGGTTTTAAAATACAATGATTGCGTTTATTAAAAACGACTTAAAGGAACAAGACAATAAGCAGAATAGGAAATTTATTTTCGTTATAAAAATAATTTTGTAATGTTTTGCTACTTGTTGAAGATACTTTTAAAAAGCTTTTCTCCCAAAACTATTGATTTAAGATACTGAAAAATATTAATCATTAAATATTAATGCTGCATTATATATCACTCTGTGAGTTCAACGTTTCATAAATGGCAGGAAGGCTGTAAATTGGTTTAAATCGTTGGTTGCTGCCGCGCGTGGAGAACGTTTAATCGTCCCTGAGGCAGAAATAGTTTAATGCTGTGTAAAAGCGAGAGTCGACTCAGTCATCCTTTAAACACCATTAAATCTTCCCTCCGTGTTTTTTATAGCCTATATATTCTTTTACTTTTAGAGAACTGACGATGGAAATATTGAGACTGATAGAAGAAATAATCTAGAAACAAGTAATGAATGACCCGTCAAGTGTCAAGTTGGATAGCGTGAATAACTGTTTTCCACGTCCTCCGTTTTTAAATTAGATTTGTAGGAGATTTATAATGGGACAATTTATTTTAATATTACATATTAAAACAATTATCCTGTAATTAACGTAATATATTGATTTAGCAGTAACCTAAAACGGAACAGAATTCGAGCTCAGATTAAAAAAATATCTGGTATAATCGTATGAACACCAATGCGCTACAATACAACATTCTACTGTTAATTCCCCCAAATATATGTAGCAGCTTGGCTAATTTTTGGAGGAATTACTAACTTGCGTGCTTTTCCGTCAGAAACCATTCTCGACAACGAGAGATCAAAACTCGACGGAAAAACATACATAGAATATAAAGAATACAATATATAGAATAGAAAAATGCACATTGTTTTTGTACTCATTATAACGGATAATGATGGCCAAAAATTTATTCTGTTGCATTAAATTAATTATTCCTTTATTTGATTGCATTTAACAGTGCTTACTAATTTAAAACAAGCCTATAATTATTATTAGTTACTGGCTCATCCTATACTTAATATATTTTTAATTTTGGTAATATGAACCACAATTACACAATTAAACAATGTGACACCTGTAGCATATAATGCTATTAAATAAACAATTAATTATTAATGAAATTGCGTCTTTGTAAAGCCATCGTTAAAAAGAGCAGAGATTTTCTTTACACTTTAATACTTTTTTGTTTCTGTAACTTAACCAACAAAACGTGGTACAGATAATTTTGTAGCAGTGCTCCGTACACAGTGACAATAAGAGAAAATGATCATTCTATCTGTTCTTATCTTTCTTTATGTATGTGATTAGATTTGCACCAGCTAAACAGAACGTGTCAAACCTCGGGGATGTTTTATGGACAGACCGAGTGAAGTCTTGTCTTAATGTGACTCTCTCGTGTTTCTCCCGGCCTATTGATTTTCCTTCGTTTCCCTCTTTTTTTCTGCAGATTTGGAACCAGTCACAAATCTGTAGGGTTCTTTAACTGTAACATGGTTAGACACTGGCTGCCTCCAGCAGTTTTGTCACGGTACATTTGGGTAATTCAAGATTGAAAGGCTGGCAAACAAGAGAAATCCCCTCAACCTATCAAAATCTATCCGTCAATAAATACATCTTATGCATACATCACCTCCCCCACGCCAAACGTATGGAGCGCATCTATCATAGCACACCCGTTTAAAACTTACTGAAGTAAAGCAGGATTTGTTACAGAGCAACAGGTTGAGACACGCGCGATAATCACTTGGTATTTTTCTGCACGATTTTGCACTAAATGTGCAGGCGGTATATGCTATAGGCAGATTTTACTACTCGCTAAATGTCTGCCATTTTTCCAAATCCAGTGAAATCCTACCACTTTACACTGTCTGGTGAATATATAACTGAACGACAAATCAGTCTAACAACAAAAACAATAATAGTAATAATAATAATAGTGTATATTTGTAAATAAACGTATTTAGTGCAATTAATCTAAGTGAATCGTAGATTGAATGATTAATTTATATACCTGTTTTGAACTATACGAAGAAAAAGTATTTGTAAAATGTTGGACATTGAAATCAAGGCGCTATACAATAAATTTCAACCGAAGAACCAATATTTTTTGGTTTAAGAGATCCTCATTTTATACGTAAATCAAACAAAAGCAACCAAAATACCGTGCGAAATAAACGGTGTTTTTAACAAGTCTTTAAAACACATTTAGGCTATATAATTTAAATATAAACTAAAAAGCACGCCCAAGAATATAGGCTATTGTAAACAAATAAAACGAAACACGCAATGGCAGGGGTAATCTTATCTAATCCTCGCATTAATGCCAATTTTTGCACTATTTTATTTGGAAATTTAGCTGATGAAAATCTCACAATACCATGACAACACAAAAAGCTCAACTGAATAATGGATTTTCTGTTTAAAAACACGTGAACTCGCGTTTTTGGAATTTTAGGTTATATAGAAATATATTGTTGTTTAGATTAAGCACATGACGTATTTTCTGATTTCTGGGTTTGACTAATTTCCTTTTAATCGCTGTTCTGAAAGGCTGCTTTCTGTCTTTCGCCTCGCTGAGGAAGATGGATATCTGCTTCAGCACCTCGGCATCGGACAGCAGCCCTCAGCGCACGCGGCAGCCCATTCTTTCTAGTACAATGTACGAATATAAACACTATGTGTGTTACATTATACAGTCCCGTGGAGGGCATTTCAGGGCACGGATAGCACACAATGAAAGAATGTATGCGTTTTTAAAAGAAGGGCATTTATTTGCTTTATACAAGTCGTCTACCGTGGTGGTCTAAGTTGCCTCAGTCGTGCTTCACCAGGGCAGTAAACTCTATAGCTGGTTTTCGATTTTAAGAATCAACCTACTGTAGGCGTAAGACTGTGTTTCCATTAAACAAAACACGCATTTGTATGTTTTTCCAAAATGTGCTTCATCACGATTAAAATTATTTTTTTGTTATTATTCAGATGGAGTCTGTCTTGTACAGAATACATCACCTATTTATTCTTTTCTTCTGGTAAAATGTTCAAACTACAATATATTTTATGCAACATTAAATGTTCGGTTTAGTTCATTTTATGAAACATTTAAATGTTTGGTTTAGTTAATTGACTTGTAATTTCATAGAGTCATGAAAAGTAAAAAAATATTTTCTTATTTTATGTTTCTTTAAACGGAGCTTCAGTTTTCGCCGGAATTATACCCTCCGGCTTGTTCACTTTGCAGACCTGCAACACAGAGAGGACAGAAACAAGCTTAGCACCCCAACAATCCTTTTTCTGAGCCCAGCCCATCGCTGTACCATCCATTTCAGGTCCTCCGTTCCCACTCCCGTCTCCCCTTCTGTCTATCCATCACAGCAGCACTGCTCCCTTAACCCCATCCATCTTCAATCGCTCCTCGAAGCCCACCGCTTCATTAGGGCAATCTACATCCACCAGCGATCGGTCATAGTTCTGTCACCCGCGCGTAGGCATCTCCATCCCGAGTAGGAGTCGTCGAGACGGGCCCAGTTTTAATGGGCCGACTATCGGAAACGATTAATGTCAGGATAATGTCCGTAATGTAAGGAGGGGGAAAACAAAACAAAACTAAACAGAATTATATTATATTATTCCTGGGGGAGGGCCCCTTTTTTTCGTATTAAAACCGTCTCATGGCCTCGCAAAAACTGATGCCCCAGCAAATACTGTCTTGTGCAATTGGCAAATATATCAATTTCGCGATTAGCGTATAGGACATACAAAACTTTGTTATAAGTAATGATATTTAATGATTTAATGACATTTTAAACAATCATGAATTATGCGAAAATGTTATTTTATCCCAATTTTATTTTGTAACAATAACTACAGAAATGCAGACTTTAATAACATATTTCGACCTGTCAGTCTGTCGGCGTGACGGTATATATATGACTTTTGTTTCCAAATTTATTTACACAAATATCATACATTAGAATGACTGCTGTGAATGTTTTAGTTAATCGCCAATGAATTTTAAAGTCAAAGTTAAACCCCCATATCCTTTCAGTGTTTCTCTGCGACGGAATTAACCAGGATTAAGACCCATTTTCAAGACAAACACTCGGTTAGCAGTGGATTTGAAAGTCTGAAACTCAACGAGGTGCTTTCTCTTTGAAGGGATTAGGTCGCCCGTCGGTGCGCTGTTCAGCACGAGTAAAGGTCGCTGCTCTTTTCGCCGATTTGGAAGCAGTTTAACTTTACAAGCAAACACTGGCCTTCACACAAACGCCGGGCAGACATCTGCAGATCAACTTAAAGAATTTTAACATGCAACCTACAGGTTAGATGTTAGTGTTAGAGTTACAGCGTAGAACGCAAATTAAAATGATCGTGAACATCGTTTTTATTTTATTTAAACTTTTCATAATCGTAATAATAGCCTAAATGGCAGCATCAAACTATATTTAAGTGTGGGGATTCCTCTGTAAAATAAACGGGATTTTTCTATAATAAAGACGACAGGTTTATTCTCCATATAATAGTTTGTGATAGTAGCCTACATTGTAAACGACTGGGAAACCTGTGCCATTTTTATTGGCTGTCGTTAGATATATGCATGAGTGGATGGGTGGATGAGTGACAGTTTTAATTCAAAACTATTTCTTAAAGAAAGCCAGCCGCCGTCGCCAGATAATATATTTCAGGGGAATTTCCACTCCTCTTCCCAGCTGTATAACCTGAAATGGTCCAGCAGAAAAACGGCAGCTTCTCCAAACACGGTAATTAGATCAGAGTAGCTGGAGCCGCGTTTTGAAAGGCAGTCCCAACTGGCGGGGCGCGGGAGTTGTGGAAAGTTAATTGAATTAAGCTTCCTCTAAACTAATTAGCCAGCAATCTGCCACGCGAGCTGTCCCAGAGCAAGATTTGAATTAGGGAAAATGGATTTTTTTTATTCTTAAAAAGGGTACTGGTTGCTTGGGTCTTGTCTTTTCAATTTTTTAAACTAACATTTCGGTCACCATGCTGTGTCTATACGCGACTGTCAGCTAATTCGTAGTTACTCCCTCTCAGTATTGAATGCACCAGCCGTCCTCGTTAGCTGTCAATGGAATGAAAGGAAGCAGGTTGTACAGAAAGTATCTTTATTTACATTAATTCCGCTCCAGTTATCTAGCGCACTTTGATGTATTCCATTCACTAAATATTTTTGATATAAATTACATGTCACACACAGAATCGTCACCGGCTCCCTCTATTCCCCGCATTGCGTCCTCTGACTGGTGAAATCGAAATAGTGAGCATCGCACCTGCCTTAGACCAGCTCCAGTACTGCAGGATGTCAAATCTTGATATGTTGAAATCTTTTGTGTCCTCGCTTCTATAATCAGCAATGCAATTTCACCTCTAAAGAGCCGTGCAGTAATGGTTAATCGATTTCTCTGCCAGTCCTATGGGACAATAGTAGAAAAGGAACGGAGGAGATCTCGTATGAAAATCCGTTCTTAAAAGTGCAGACAAATATGATAATGGATGATACAAATGGAACAGTACAATATCATGGCTCTCTGCGTAATGCGCATCGAAACATGTTGAGTGTTAAGCGCTGTAAATAATCGGCCGAGCAGATACGTGGTGTCTAAACCGTACAGGTAGCCTAAGTTTTTTTTTAACGCAACGAGATAATCAAAGGTTAAAATAATGAGGAAAAATGCAACATAATACAAAATGCATTCTAGAATATAATAAAATTATATACTTCATAAACAGCGAAAAGCCTATAATACCGCTTTAATGAAACAGCAATGAAATAAACGAGAATGCATGCCTGACCGTGAATGACAGGGATGAACGTAAAAAAAACTGAGAATCTTCACAAACATGAACGTGAAAGCTGCGTAACCCGAGGAATGATTTAATACGCACGTAAAGAGTTAAGTAAAGAGGTGGCGCTTTTCTACAAATGTTGGCCTAATTATTTCCATCACCAAGGACGATTCCTGATCTCTATTTGTGGAACCTCGGCGGGCCTCGGATATGAATGTCCTTATACGCTAAAACAGGCTTTGTGATACTGGGACTCATTGTCTCGGACAACCTCTAGAAGCACCGCTGACAGGTCTCCTAATGAAGCCCTTCTCACTCCCACAATAACTTAATCCCCTTTGCTTTCATTACCGGAATTACATTTTCCCAATAACGCAATATGCGCGAGATCATACGTTGGCCAGGCGGACTCATATGCTCCTTCATTTACGATTCAATATCCAAAATTGGACTACATATAAATAGTGTAACCGATAGCTTCTCCGGCCGTGCCCTCCGCCTTCCGCTTAAAATCGGAGGACACACGTGCACAGAACTACTCTCTGGCCCATTTGCGTCATCGTTGGTGAAAGGACATCATTTACGGTTTGTGACGGTACACAGCTTCGTCTAATGACTAATACAAACCTGTAGAAACAGATATAGTAACTTGTAATAACAGAACAGTAGTATTATTTGCCTTTCCACATTGCTTCACCTATGGTGTAGCAATCTTCTCCCAAGTGTGCTTGAATGGACAGTTTGCCTCTGAATGTATCGTCCAGTCTGCGCATTTCCTTTTATAAACATGGGCATCTTTAAAGATGTTCCCACCTCTGCAGCTGACTGCAGAAATATGAAACCAGCAGCTTCTGTGCACGTTAAATGCCAGCCAGTATTTCTCTTTTAATCTCCATAATGCTGTTCACAAATGTGTGTGTGTGTGTGTATGCAACTGTGCGTGTCAGTGGATGGGGGGTCTGGCCAAACCACAGGAGGTTACGGGGAATGCGGACCTTTTTTCCGATGCTAATTCGTCCCCACAGGAAGACGGTGTGTTCTACATTTGTATGGGACTATGCTGAGAAAGACCAGAATGATCCTCCCACACTGTTGCACCCTCCTGGAGACCCCCGCCCCACACACACCATCACCATCCAAACACACATCCCTCATTCTGTTCTCTCCTATGATTTCTGTCTTGTCACCATTGTAGAATAAGCTACTGCAGCAACCAGCAACACCAGTAAATCCAGCACCAAGTCAAACTCTCATTCAAGTAAAATTGACTCCCACAAAAGAATCACACTTATTGAGCTTTTTATTTACATTATGAACACACAGAAGATTAAGTGGCAGCAGTACACAGTCTATATACAATGTATCCTTTCACTTTTATGATGTTCCTTCATGTACAATGTATAAGTTTCAGATGAGTTGTACATTCATGTGTGAAGATTAAGCTGTGAGATCATATACCATCTGACAGATACAAATTTCTCATCAATAAACCCAAGTAAGATAATTCATGGCAAATATTTTTGGTACCTACTTTCTTCCACAGGGAAAAAAACATTAGAGTAATCAATAAATGAAACCTGTTGGTGTGTACTGTCGGAAGTACGGTCCCCTTTTCTCAAAAGAACTTCTTAAATCTCCCAACAAGTGTAAGATGTCTGTATAATGCACAAAACCAGCATCGATGAGTGAGGAATAATTTGGGAGGACAGAATTAATCCTCAGGTGCTGCAGACCATGTGTGGCAAGCAGCTGTGGTGGCACTGGATTTCTGCACACCGTATCTCTGTCCATCATAGTAAATAGGCCGTCTCTTCTGGGTTCAGTGGGGGCCGGATGTCCAGTTTTCGGGATGAGCTGTCCTCACCCACAATTTCGAGGCGAAGACTGGGTGCCGCTCGGCCTTCCTGCCCCCCCAGATCGTCCACACTGAGGCGCAGGGTACAGCCCTTCGGCAGCAGCTCCTGCTCATAGGCTGCGGCCAGCTGGTTCACCACGCGGCGCTCCACCTGTGGCACACAGAGCCGTCGGTCAATTGGCGCCCACCTTCCGTTACGGGAAATGGAGCAGAGGCGGATGATGGGGACGGGCAGGACCATCGGTTTGCGGGCAAAATGACAGAGCAGGATTCCGCTGATCTTGATGGTGCATCACAACATACATCTTAAAGATGAGTTGAAGACGAGTGGTACCTCATGCTTGATCGAGCGCGCTCCATAGTGCAGGTTGTAACCAGCAGCTAAGAGGTCCAGGACAGGACGGTCCCACACCAGGGTAATGCTGTGTCTTTGCTTGGCCTGGGGGGTATAGTAAACAGAAAGGTGCTATCAAACAGAATCACTGGTGAACTGCATTGTTTTGCACCACAATGTGGTGAGGTCACAACTGTAAAGATTTTGAAAAAAATAATCAACCAAATAATCACGGTCAAAATGTGATGCCGATTTCTCTGTAAGGTGTGATGTTAAAAAATGTATGGAAGCGACCAAATGAGCCTTCTGGCGTTTCCTGTGATCATCGGGGTCAGATCATGGTTCTGGTCTGAGCTTGGTATTAGACCGCAGGGAGCAAGGGGATTTCAGACAAGCACTATAGGATGGCAGCAGCCCATGAGCTTTGAAACGGGATTTCCCCCCCAATTTATAATGCACACTGTGGCAATGGTGCACGTGGGGAGGCATCTTAGATGCTCTGCTCTGGACACAGTGTATAGAGCAGCGGCCACATGGAGAGTCACACGAACGGGAGAACTGGCAGGCGGCAGCCTGTAATGATGGAGCGGCCAGGCAAAAATGGGACTGTTATTTAAATATTTATGAAACCCCACAACGATAAGTTATCTGATTTGATTAGGTCGTCAGAAGGCGATCTGTTATTGATTGGAGAGCGTTCCTTAATGTCAGCGACAGCAGACCTGCAAGCAAGTCTGGCAGGGGAGCACAGCAGGGAACACACGTGAAGTGTCTGGCTGATATGATGTCATCAAGGCGAGACGGCTCTCTGCTCTCTGCTGACCTTTTTGGCCCAGAAGTTGAGCTCTTTGATGACCAACTGGAGAAGTTCAGAGTGGCAGAATGGCAGGAAGTAAACTATTTCATTGATCCTCCCCAGAAATTCGTCCCTCCTGAAATGAGACTGGTAGGGGGGAAAAAAAAAAACTCACATTACCTCCCATACTCATCCATGGTAATGGCCTGTACCAGGTACAAGGGCGGGGGGGGGGGGGTACCTTGAGAATGGGCCGGATCACATTCTCCTTGAACTGCTTCGATATGGTGATTTTATCACTTGACTGGACATCCTCTGTATGGAAGGGGGAGAGACAAATGCTAAACTTAGAAAAAACAATTTAACAAAATATCACTGCATGAAAAGTGTTATCAACCGGCACTTCCTGCTTGCTTCCTGGGGGTGCTGTCTGCAGTGGTAAACCAACAAACATCTGTTCGACCTAGTTAGCATAAATGGTAGCTTCTTACTGATAACAGCTGGGAGCTAAAGTGCGCTTTGAGCGACAGCAAAATTCCACTCAGATTATCATCTCTGTTTTTATGCTTCCCTCTCACCCAAATTGTCTGCCAGCCGTCTGCGGCTCTGCTCTTGGGCCTCCTGTCGCAGCTGAATGGCATGCTGGGCAATTTCGTCACTGGCCACGTTGGAGGTCATGATGAAGATGGCATCCTTGCACTCAATTGTCTTTCCCTTCCCATCTGTGAGCCTCCCCTGTGCCACAAAACACAAGAACGGATCCCCCCCCCCCGCCAAATGTAAACAGGCACGTTATGGAAGAGCACCTACCTAAGGTCTAGGGCTGTCGATTTTTGAATGATACTCGAACATTTGTTAAAACATGATGTGAAAAATTCATATTCAAACTATAATTAACCAATTCAAATTTTAAAGTGTCACTGTAGACTATAAGCACATTACATTATTTGTTGTAATTTTGTTGTTTGCCATCTACGGAACCCCTAAGAGGTCTGGGTGCGAAAACATATTTTGAAATGGATTTGTGCATTTTTCCACGCATCCATTATTATCACTTATATTTTACTTTGTTCATCATTGTTCCTTGAGACAGTAACTATGCTTTTTCAGAATCGTGGATGTATTTTATGTTTGCAAGGCAGGTTATTTGCATAACCAATGAACAATAAACACGTTTGCAAGTCCTGGCCCAAAGAACCGAAGTATCGCAAAAGTCCCCCACCTGGTTTGGTACTTTTGGCGCTGGTACCTGATAGAAAGTCAACAGAAAACGGCTCCTCCATTCAGAGCTCCACATGCAAACCCCTCCTCACCTCGTCGAAGAGCTGCAACATAATGGTGAGCACGTCTGGGTGGGCCTTATCCACCTCATCAAACAGCACCACTGCATTGGGGCACTGCTTCAGCTGCTTGGTCAGCTGACCGCCCTCCTCATGGCCCACGTATCCAGGTGGGGATCCTATAAACTTGGCCACCTGGAAGAGACAGCAACGGTGAGATGGTACTAAGGATGGGGTGTCGAGGGGAAGTGTGTGACCCATGTGTAAGCTGACCAACAGGGGCCTAGAAATGTCAAGAGTGTGTTATACTGTACAGAAGTTAGGGGGAATTGGAAGGCAGGATTGGGGCCATTCCGGAATGCACTGATGCATTCCAATCCAAATCAGGAAATGGAACTGGAGTTGGGATGGGAAAAAAAAAAACTGGGGAACAGAGTTGGAATTGAATTCAAATATCAGGGAGATTTAAATTCCAAATCCAGTTCCATTTCCTGATTTGAATTGCAATTGATCAATGCATTCCAGAATGGCCCCAACCCTGTTGGAGGTAAACAGATACTTGGGATAATGAAAAAGATGGAATGGGAGAAACGGAAGGAAAAAAAATAAAACAAAGAGAAAACCAGTGTATTTCAGAACGATCAGTCTGAGGTTCCATGTCTACTTGAAGAACCAATATTTCAAATTTGTCTGAGCCAGTAAACCACGTGGTTCCTTGACCTTACAGAAAAATCTCTTCATGCCAGTAAAGCAAACTGAACTGAGAAAGAGGGACTGTGCGGCGCGGCTAAACCCCAAGGTCATTCAGTTACTGCCAGGTTAAATGGGTTATGACAGCAGCCGGGGAGGGTCACAGCTAGCCCTGCTTCCGAGCAACGACAGCCATGTTAGATTATATTAGTCAGGGTGTGTGGGTGCGTGTCTCCAACCAGCGTTTTACCGTACCTCGTGTTTCTCCTGAAACTCTGACATGTCCATTCGTATGAATCCCTGCGAACACAAAACATCAGCGCATCAGCATCGTCACGGCCGTGAGCAGAGGGGATCCCGGCAGGCTCGTGCATCGCGGCCACAGAACCCACCTTTTTGATATCTTTGTGCATGTACCGGGCCACCTGCTTGGCCAGCTCAGTCTTACCTGTTGAAAGGACAGAATGGTGCACCAATCAGACGCACATTGAGATCATTGGTATATGATGCCTGTATGCTTAAGCTTTTTGTTTATGTTAATTTTAATTTAAAAAAGAGCTCAGATTGTGATCATTAATGAGATAGCTGGGGTAGGTAGGAGGCCTAAAGGCTGAGAATTTGGTCATGGATCCTTCTGGAAGGAGCACATATCAGAGAGAGCTTGTGGTTTTAGCCCTACACACTTTATGTCTATGCAGCAGCAAAAATAAAATATTCCTCTTATAAATTTTAATATACATATAGGGAAAGAGTGGGACTTGTTGCTAAGCTGTTAAATATTCATGTCCCCTGGCCCGGCGGAAGATGCTACGTTGCTGCAGGCGATGAGAGGAATATGAGAGCTTCAGTAATCTCCATAAATTTCTGCGCTCTGGCGTACAAACAAACAAGCAGCTGGGTGACAGCTGATGGAGGTGGAGGGCCGGGCATCCGTACACGTCCATGCCCGTCACCAGGTTGCCGAGAGCGCCCCCCTCCCGCCCCTCTTTAAATAACCAAGCGTCCAAGACCAGTCACAACACGGGTGGCACAAAGGACTGATGAGTTCTGATGACCATGGCAGGTTTGGAATTTTGTGATCATTTAACTCTTTTATGAAACATTTTTGTCTCAATCATACATTTCCTAGACAGGAGGGAATGCGATGGCTAGTTTAGTGGCTAAAGCGTCAGATGGGATGTTGTCATATCAGGGAGATGCAAAGAAAACGACGGCAGTCAGCAATGCGAGCGAATAATACAGCAGGAAGGAAAGTTCAGTTACCAATGCCCGAGGATCCGAGGAAGAGGAAAACCAGGGGATGCTCTTCATCATACCAGCCATTCTCCTTTCTTCTGATGGCTGCCAGTAGGGGATGGGGGGAGGAAAGGGCACCGTCAGGAACAGCCGGTCGAAAAGAAGGGAGGTGGGGGGGAAAGACCTCCACAAGAGAATAGATCAATGACACAGGGGGGTGGATAATTATCGCAGGCTCTACACGATGTTCTGACTGCTTCCAGCCTCCGCTCTCAGTCATCCCAACCATTAGCCCTCTATAATTCCATTAGCCAGCCCGGCACTGGAGAAGCCAAATCAGGTTAGCATGGATCCAAGAGAGCAGCCCGGGGAGGAGAGTTCGGATAACGCCATGTTACCCTGGCAACCAGCTGGAGGAGGGGGGGGAGGGGGGGGGGTAACGGGCCATATAGCGTGCTGAACCCAGGGAGGGGGGGGGCAGACTTGGGGTGGTTTTGGGGGGCAAAGAGGTGCAAATATGTTTGTATTGGATGGGCAACTGCTAAAGGAGAACAGGAAGAGAAATCTGAGTCTCTGAGATCTGTATAGCTGCCAACAAACACATAACTTCATATGTATTTACTGCCCCCAGTCACACACTTACTCATTTAAAACAGTCAGTTTTGTGTAATGGAAGGTGAAAGACAATTCTGAACTGGTACTCAGTACACTTCATGAGAGAATGAGTCAAAAAGCACTCTGCTTTCTATATATAAACTGCGCGGCTGTAAATAGCATTTCACCGTTATGATGCACGTGTCAGAGCTTCAACAGTGGAACCTCCAATGGGACCCCATCCTGTAGTCTGATAGCAGAACTTTCCCTCAGGTCAACTTGGAGCACAATGGTACATGGTCCAAACTACTGGATTTCAGAATGAGACAATCCAAGATAAGGAGACATCAAAGAATGTCTCACTGTAGCTAAGGCCAAAGCTAGCCTCTCAATGTCAGAAAAGCATGGAATCATCCTGACCATCCTTAATGATCACCCAACATCACTCCCCCACCGTATCCTGTATTGCATAATTGTGTAGGAGTTGTTCTGCTATTAGACCAATTCTTTCACTTAACGTCACTCCAGAAAAATCCCACAACTACTCATAGGAGAAGCTGCATTTGTAATTGGTCTGCATCCTCCTAGGAGATCTGTACCATGAATGGAAACTGGCCACCTGCGATGAAACAGGCGCTGTCTTTTCTGGGTTTACAGAAACGGAACGGGGGAAATATGAAGCAGAAGATTGGGGGGTGGGGGTGTCCTCCAGCTGTTGTCTGCTTTCGTCTGTGATTTGTCATAAAGATGAATTCTGGAACCCTACAGGCTGGTTTCCCCACAGCAAACCATAATATTTTATCTCTGAATGCCGCGGGACCCAGTGTAACTTTTCCTTACCCATTTTTATTTGTCTGGGTGTGTGGCAGACCCTCCCACGGGGTCTCGGTAAAACATGGCGTCACCCCTTTATACAGTGAAGGTCCAATATTTCACACGCATGTAACCCGAAACGCATTTTAATTATGTCCAAACATATTTATGTCTTTCCTAGACTTTTATATGGGTACTTTGTATTTGTTATTAAATTCACAGTCCTCGTAATGTTGCAGTAAAATAACGTTTACTGTCGATGTTACTGTCTGGGGTTTGTCCTGGGAGGCTTTTGACCCTGAGGCATAAGTCATGGGAACAGCTGCTGTACCCCAGGCCCAAGAACACCACCAGGTTCAACAGCACTCACCTTGTAGATCTGTACCTAAACAGAACCACAAAATCGCCAATTCAGTCTCCTCAGTGCCTCTTTAATCACCTTTAATCGAAACGATGTTCTTCTTCACACATTTTGTAGTATTTTTTGCCCAGAGGGGGGCAGCATTGTGGGGGCCAGGCAGTGGTCCCATTTAATAGGACATGTCCAGTTCCTCACTAAATCTGCCCCCCGCGTTTACAAAGCCCCCTCTGCCACTGACCTCCATCACCTGGGTAATTTATATTCCCCTTGTGAAAAAGAAATAGCTGCGAGGAGTGCAGGATGACTTTAAACAGCTACCTTAGAGAATCTGACCTGGGGAGGGAGGGATTTCTACCGCCCCGGCTGATGATCCAAACTCAATTAGTCTCTGCAAGGGCAAAGGACACTTAATCACATTAGAATAGGATCCCAGGTTTCAATAACTTTTAGACCCTGCAAGGTAAATGAAGATCAATCAAGCATTTCCTGTAGTTCTGGAATCGGTGATGATGGGAGAGCAGAGGGGACAGTGGAGAGGGGGTGAGGGTGTGTCACCAACCTGTCTGTGCGAGAAAACTGAAAGTATGAACTTCCCTCTCCCACAGGAATGAGCCCAGTGGTTTTGTTGTTCGGCTTTTTCTCCCACAAAGCAGAGACAGGTGCTGAAAAGCAGAATCTGACAGAGACCCCCACGCGACCCCTCCCAAAGTGGCCGCCCCGCCCCACACCCGCCAGTTCCTCGCGACGCGTGTAAAAGGTGCCGCTGACGGTGGCTACGAGCCGGCTGATATATTCACCGTATTACTTTACACAGATCAATAAGCTCTGCCTTTATCAGCCTGGTCATGTGGCTGAAATTGGTTTCGGACAATTTGCGACGGCAATAACTGGCCATTTATCAAATCAGCTAGTGGGCTAGGCCAGCCTCTCGCTTTCCAAGTCGCTTGAGCTCCACATGTTGGCGGGGGGTTTGGTTTCTGCCTGAGGACCCTGTCCCCGTGGCCAAAATACTCAAAGTGCTAGAGTGTATTGGCTAAAGCTGGAAATGTGGAACACCTTGCTTAGTGGAACCACAGAACGTCGCTTCTGAGAGTGGGTGGGTCACCTTGTTCAGGGGAATGACAGCATGTCCTTTCTGAGACTGGGTGAGTCACCTTGTTCAGTGGTACTAGGGCACCTCCCCTTCTGAGATCGAGTACCAGTCTCCAGCCTGCAGGGACAACAGTATCCTCAGCAGGCACCGTGATGTCACAGACTGAAATGGCGGACAACCAATCGATAAACGGTATTACGGCTCCTCAATTTAATATACTTTATTTATTGGCCTGTATATTGTTGTGTTTTATATCACTTTTTCTTTACCTTGGGACTCATCAGGCAGCAGGCAAACGTTTCCCTAGCAGGATGAAGTGCGATACTGAGCCTTTCAACCCCACCACAACAAATTATTTACCAAGAAAAAGGACATTTCCAATAGCCATACTGGTGGTTTAATTATGATTTAAACTTGGGGGGATTAAGGGTTGCAAAGCCAATGGGCAGATAGAGTTTGTGGCCATAGCTTAACCAAGTGCACTGGAGTTCTCCAGTGCGAGGACCCAAGTGTGTGTCCTACGTAGTGCCTGTAGGGACATGAGGGTCTGTCTATTACATTGCCTGTACCTTTGAGACAATGTTCTACCCCTCTAGACCCACACCCTCTGTGTGGCTTGAGTTTGGGAACAACGGCAGTGTAACAGGGATCATATTTAACTGAGAATTTATGTGCACTGAAATCCAAAGAAAAGTTAAAAAAAAAAAAAAAGACATCATTATGGGTCAGGGAAGCAGATCGCTAAGTTAATCTGGTACAACAACAATATGGTGAGGATGAAAGTCTCTAACATTAGTGCAACGTCACGACTAACACACGATAAAGCTAGTAATACAATGTATAAACAGAATATGCTTTTAAAATTACATTATAAAGAAGTTTCTACTGTATTTCATTCCCAAATTAAAATCTGTTTTGCAATGGTTTGTTTTTGTTCTAATTGCAGAATAGATAGTTATTATAATGGTGGTAAAGCTGGATTAAAAAGTCCAGTAACAAATGGCTTTGAATTCTGGGTAATGAGAAGACGAGTCTCCGAACGGACAAGAACACAGCTGTTCTATCGCTGCGTCTGTTTCTGTAGGAAGACGAGGCTGAGCAAAGGAAAGGAGGCGGAGAGCTGGAGCTCGTGCTCCGTAATCGCATTATCTGCTGGCTCGCGGCCGTGATGCAGTAGCCAGCTGTAGAGCGTGCGGACGGCACCACCTGTACCACTCCTGGGGACTTGCCCATTAATCACAATTAACCAATTAACTGCCACAGCCTACCCGCCCTGCCCTCGTCTCCCCGGCGGCTAGTAGCAAAGGGAGGTGAGCGGCAGCCCCACGCTACACCTACTAAAACTAAAATTAAAACAGCAAAAACAAACAGTGGAACGACAAGCACAAATAGCCGGTTTACCAACTAAATGAACAACCCGGTTTTCTTGCAGCTGCTGTTTCTAGGAGGAAAAACATGTCCGACGAGCTGAGGGCCGTCAGCCGAAATGTAACGCACGCTTCTTCAGACTCTGTTCTGTACGGAGACCCAAGAGGATCGATACGCCACATGACCTCTCTGTGATTTTTATCTGCAGTTCGCTGGACATGTTGTCCTGGGGGAAGGAGCGCAAGGAGTAATGAAAATTTAAACACGACGGTCAAAATGAAAATTCAGGAATAACGGATATAAAGAGTGCAAAAAAGCTGTAAAATAAATTCCGCGAGTAAATCGAGCATAAAAATCAATACAAACAGCTCTCTGTACGTTCCTGTCGGCACAGCACGGGGTCTACTCCACCAGGAGGTACAGGACCTATTCTGAGCGTCAGGCTACAGCCAAACACAGCGGCACACAATGCTCAGGTTTGGGGCCCCTGTGCCCCCGGCGGCGTGTGGTATGTGGTCAGTGGGGCATTGGGCGTATCCACCCTTCATCACAAAAGGTGGGTGGCTAGGAGCCACAGTGACACGGGGGGGAGGGGGGCAGGACCGCACGGCTTCATGGGAAGGCAGCCCTGGCATATTCGTGAGGTATAAGACAGCTTTGAGTGGGTGCTGGGGGTGTCACCTGAGGCCACGGTGTTGATGGCGCCCTCCTGTCCAATTATGTGCTCCCGCAGCCGACGCTCGAGTGGGAATCGGCGCCGCTGCTCCGCCTCCTTACGCTGCTGCGCCTCCTGGAACTGGGGTGGGCCGGTGGGGGGAGCAATTCAGAGGAGAAAATGGAGAGAGCAAGACAGCAAAAAAATAAAAAAAAAGTTCTGGAGGAAAAAAAAGGATGATGATGATGATGATGGTGTTTTAGAATCAAACCTGTGCCCCCCCCCCCTCTTGAAAGCACTTCTGCCCCCAAGAGCTCCGCTCTGAGAAAGGAAGAAAAATGGCGGAAATAAAACGTAGCTGGCGGGGTGGCCGGGACCTCCGGCGCTGCCCCATACGCGTCTCCCTGGCAGGACCCCTGGCCCCCAGCAGAGGGGGGAGAGAGCGCAATAAGCGGCCGCAAATGCAATTTTACAAGGCAGCCATCTGTCTCCCCCTGCTAAGCACCCATCCATCCATCCAGCGGTCTTCTCCATCTGAGGCAATAACACTCCCCATCCAGCCCCAGAGGAGACCTGCCACCTAACACCCCTCCCCCACCCTAGCCTCAGGGCCCTTGCATTCTTCCAAGCCCTGCATGCCCCCCCCCAGCTTCCTCCACCGCTTGTGGGAGGGTGGATCATATGATACTGTGGCTGCACCCCCCTGTTCTATGCTGTATGCCTCTGCTATACCCATGCTTGCTTCCCTCTCACACGCCCCCCCCCTCCCTTTCCTGTCACCCTGTCCTTTTTCAGAACTGCTGGAGCGCTCAGGCAGGTGCAGTGGCCAGCGCTGGTCAGAGGGTTCAGCTCCACCACTGGATCCTAAGGTTTCTCTGACTTCAGTGTGTCCCCCCCCCAAACGTCCAGCACATTATGGCTGAACAATGGGTATCCATTCTCTGAAGGACAATCAGGCATTAACCTGGATCTCATTAACCTCACAGACTTTCAGCTGTCCCTCTTTACCACGTCAATCTCTGTGAGGTCATCTGAACCTCCGGCCCGACTTCAGAGGTACCAGAAGTGCTCCACCTGTCGCCTACCTGTGCTAAGCCACTTAGACGCTAATGGGCCATATAGGTTTTCATCTGCCATATGGTTTTACAAAACCCAACAATGTCAGTATGTTCTGTGTATTACTGAGTACCTGCAGCAGCTCCACTGGGCCAGGATGGATCTTACACAAGCCCAGGAACGCAGAGATATAAACAGAGGAGAAGGGTAGCAGGTTTAGTCTGCAGTGCAGTTTTGGGGTGGGAGATTCAAGGAGGTGTGCTCACTCAGGCCTGTGAAATGGCTACACTGGCTGGGGGGGGCCCTACCTTTTTCTCCGCCTCCCACAGCAGGGTCTGCAGCTCCCCTTCCTTGGCATATGCCAGGGCTGTGTGCCCCATTTCATTGGTCAGCAGGGGGTTGGCACCTGGACAGAAACAGAGTGGGTCGAAGGTTAAACAGGGGTCAGAAAGTCAGCCCTTGTTTCACTGCCACAATAAAAACATGGCTTGACAACCAGGCGGGGGTCCAGGGAGACTGCAGGGCCATCTCAACGGTTGAAGGCACAAGCTGGACCCCGGCCACGTGCTGACGAAGTAGGAGATGACCTGCAACCTGCAGGTCTTTATTTGTCCACGTGTGATGAAGCTGTGCCAGACCGGGACTCTTAATTCCCATTTTGCCCTGGTGTCACCAGGGTGTTTAACCTGCCCTAACCCGGGACATCCTGTGCTCCGAAGAGGCCCCAGATGACCATGAGTAAAACTGCAGATAACAAGGCAGAGATCTCGACAGTGTCCGCTTCTGCTGTGGTGTATCTACAATAAAGCATTAGTTCATGTATACACTGCAAAACGACACCATCAAGTTTTATTTATATACATCTGGAAGACCACAGTTAGACAGAAACTATTTGTTAATTAATTATCAATTAAGAAAAAACACGGTAACCCACGTTAATTTTCAAAGGCCACAAAGAGAGTTAAACTGGTTTGCAGAATTTAGTATTTGTAGATGTTTCTCCTTTTTAAGGTTATAGTGACATGTAAGAGTTTTCCTGGCATGAACGTGTTCAGGGAACCCTTCACATAGCAGGCTGTGGACTCCTACGCCATTCCCGGTGCCGCCCCAAGACCACGGAATCGTGCAGAGTAATGGCAGCCATAAGTCAGCCAAGGACCTTTGGATCAAGACGGCAGACACTCTGATGATGAGCAGAGAAGCCAGAAAGCGGCCCGTGCGAGTGGCCAGTTAGCACACGGCGGGATGGGCAAGGCCCGATCGATGAGGCTGTGAACACCAGCAGCATTCCAGGGCTGCCGCAGGGACTAATTGCCGTGATTATTGATAAATCCCAAAATTCCTCCTTCATGAATCCCAATCAATACAACATAAAGTAGAAAAGCAATAAAGAGATACTGACCCCCCCATACCACCCCCCACCAACCTGCCCCCGTACTCTCATCTTCCCTTCTGTTTCCAACATAATAAATAGCATCATTTGGGACTTTAATATCAGTCCTTTACCCCCCAGGCACAAATTCTTTAAGAGGCATCAAGGTTAATCCTCACCTACCTTCTATCCTGCTCTCACACACACGAATAAACAGTTTGTTAGGACACCAATCTTGTAATTTAAAAACACGCACAAATGTGCAAAAAAGTGGAATAAGGCCCCCCCCCGTGGCGTGACTGCAGCTGTCGGCCCCTGCTAGGTGGGGGCCTGACCTCTTAGACTGCCAGGGAGGGGAGGAGGCACAGAGTGTGGAAGCTCTGATAATTATTCACCTCCCACGGCCTCCCCAGCCCCAGGCCCCTGCCTGCAGCGGTCCCGGGCCCGTGGCTTCCAGCAGGGGCCGGTTCCGGCGCCAGTCGGCAAGGCCTGCTTGATGAATGATGGCCGAAGTCGTCGGCCCCCCGGAGGACGGAGGAAAGGCTGGAATGGGGTGCGGGATGGACTGGGGGTGGTGGTGGTGGGGGGGTCCAGACACCAGGGAAATAAACCAAACCCTTTCCGGCCCGTTGGAAAAGAAAAGTTCAAAAGCGTGACAGCGCCCAATTCTTCAATTTTTTTATTAAACTTTCCTTTATGACTGTGGAAGTGTGTCGTCTCCCTGGGTCACGCAGCCCATCTATCTCTCGGGCTGTCTTTATGGACCGTGCGGGACACCGTCCGCGCTGCCTTCCGTCCGCTGGGCTGGACGCAAGACCGGCACCGAGTTACCGTTCAGATACGCCCACTCGTTTTTCTTTTGTCATCAGAAGACCCTGCACCGCTTTGCGGATGGGGCCGGGGTCATTCAAACCAGCAGGATCAGGAACAGCATCTGATTCAGGGTAGGATCCAGTCAGTTGGAATGAAGAATAAAATGGTCTGGACACAAATGCTTCATATATTGAGATGCGTGCCACTCCCTGTATGAACATCTGAATATCTGGAACAAGTCTAACGCGCCATAGTTAAGTACTCAAAGCATCCGTCTTGGGGACGCAGGGGGAAGCGGAGTCGAGCTGCAGCTTTTGTTAATGCACATTTCAGACGTGTGATTATGTAGCGCTCTGATGTATGCCTGCAATAACGGGCCGCGGCAGCCTGCCTGCCGTCTGTAGTGCCGCATGCATAGGTCGTGCCTTCCTTACCTCGCCTTCCTTACCTCGCCTTCCTTACATCGCCTTCCTTACATCGCCTTCCTTACCTCGCCTTCCTTACCTCGCCTTCCTTACCTCGCCTTCCTTACCTCGCCTTCCTTACCTCGCCTCCACCTCAAGGTGCGACTGTTGCTGGTTTCCCAGGATTTCTCAAAGTAATCAAAACAGAAAAGCGCTGGGGTTCTCGCCTGGGCCGGAATCTCCACATGCATGTAGCAATCCAGCCGCCCCTTTTGATCCACCAGCTCCGCCACACAGACGGTACAACTCTCTGTCAAGTCCCCCCCCCC